ACTTTAAATTTTAAACTTTTTTAAAAAATTTTGACCGATAATTTGGATAGAACTAATGAAAAACAATAGTTTTTATCGGTTATATTTTTAAAAAATATTTAAAACTTAAGATTTTATAGATTTCTTAAAAATACATGATTTTTGATGAGAAGTGATTTGGAGCACCATATCTAATCTATTTATAGCCAACAGCCTATCGGCCTGCTATCATCTAGGTTGATTATTTGAAGATATAAGAAAGATATTTTTGACTTCGACTAGTGAACAACCCTTCTGGGCTAATTGGTTTGATAGTTGGGGAGGGATCAGTATAAGCAGTGTTGTCAATTGGACTGGGCTAGTTCATTAGACTATTTGTTTGGACCAATTAGTCCAATAAAAATTCAAGTTACTAGACTTAAGATATTAGTCCAATAATTTTATCCAATTAAATTTAATTATGTGATAAAGTTAAACCAATCAAATTTTATTAATCAATGTTAAATTAATTTAATTAACATTTGATTAAAACACAAAAAAAACCTGTTTTACTTTAATCAAAGATGCCAAAACCACATCGCTTAACACCTTATATAGAAATTCTCAAAGAAAAAACAAATGATTATAATTATAAAGCAATTTGCTTAGCATGTATTGAATTTAAAGGAAAAGTATATATATTCGAAGAAAAATTTACAAATACCAAAAAATGTTGTCGCGATCATTTTAAAAAATGTTCTTGGTTTAAGCAAAAATATAGAGAACAAGCAACAAAATAATTGATGATATTGATAGTAAAAATACAATGCAACAACGATATAAAAGATTTCATATTACTCATAATGAAGATAAAATTATTAAATTTTATTTTTTTTTAAACCTATTTAAATAATACTTATAACATATTTTATTTTAAATAATGAATCTGATAGTTTTGATGAATTTAATTCATTATCAAATAATACTTCTGATTCAACTTCTAAAAAATTAAAAGATAGTTTGTTAAATCAGTTTGTTCTTCAACAATACAAAGGTGCTAGTCTTGATAAGTTGTACTATTTAATATTAAAAGCAACTATTTTAAATAGTTGGAGTTTTCGTTGGGTTAAAAACTCTAATTCTATAGAACTTTTTCGGTTCATTAATTCTGCAATTAAACTATCACCACGAAGAACATTAAGTAAAATAATCTTATCAAATGCATCTAATCATTTGGTTAATGAAATTCAGCAAAAAGCTCAAAATGATATCTATGGTATAACACTTACAATGAATAGATGAACCAATGTGGTTAATCAGAATATACTTTGAAGTATATTAATTACAAGTGATAAACAAGTATTAGTTTGGCAAGCTCAAGATTGTAGTGAAGATAGAGTTCGAACAAATGATGTAAAACAAAAAATTATAGAAATAGTGCAAAGTATACAGGACAAAAATATTAAAGTAGCTTCAGTTGTTACAGACAGTTATGCATCTTATCAAGCAGCAAGGTAATTTTTTTTTAACCTTTTTTATCAGGATGCTATATGATATTAGTTGGTAATTTAATTTATATATAAATATAGCTAATATGTTTAATATTTAAAAAACAATTACAAATAGAAAATCCGGATATTACTTTTCTTTCATGCTTTGCTTATCAAGCAAATCTTTGCGTGAGAGAAATATTCAAAGAATCACAAACTTATAAAGAAACTGCGAAACAAGCTGTACAAATTGCTACTTATTTTAGAAGCAAAAATCATGTTTATTTGTAGCCAAACTTCATGATATTCAAATGATTACATATAACAAGCTTCAAACTTTAATTGTACCAGGAGATACCAGATAGTGTAGTTATTTTTATAGCTTTGCAAGTCTTTTATATGCAAAAGAATCATTAAAGATAACTATAATATAATTTTAATAATATAATTTAAATAAAAATAAATTTATTTAAATTAAATAATTTAATTATTTTAGACATTAGTTGCACATTATGAACCTCGGTCTGTTTATGATAGCAATGAAAATTCTGATTTTTTTGGACAATTAAGTTTTAATAAAGATATATTAGAACTGCTAATTCATATTTGTGATTCAGTTAATAGTAATAATTTTTGAAAAAACTGCGTATCAATTAAAAAGCTACTTTTGCATATTGTGGATATTTAAATATCTTTCAACGTGATGCTGCAAGATTGTATGATGTATTATATTCATTCAGCTATTTTTATGAAATTCTGTCACAAAATTCAGATTTAGAATTTGGAGAACGTCTTTGTCAACGGCTTGAAAAAAGATGGAAAGAATGGGAACAGCCGATTATTATCTTATCATAGATTTTGCATCCAAATTACCGGTTTGATAAATTCAATCAAGATTTAGCACATTTAAATTGGGTAGATTTTGGTGAATATCTTCTTTATTATGTTAATGTATTAACATATAGAAGCTTATAGTTTAGCGCAAATCTCCGTTATAGCATTTTGAAAAACTAAATTATGTAATAGAATTTTTTATAACTCTCGGATATAAAATAGTATACCAAGTTCACCAATAAACAAATCTGAGAGTTTCTATTTTGCATTTTCATCTCTCTGAGGATGTCTCTGATTATGCAAAAATATATTTGGTGATATATCTAAGTCTGAAAGTGCTTTAGCTACAGACTTTTCTTCACCATTTTTCCAATCATCATCAAATCGCTCATCTTCTAGTATTGATTTCTATAAAGCTAATTGCTGTTCAAATCTATTAAAACCTGTTTTATTATTATTAATTCTAATTTCATCTAGTTCTAATATATCAATTTTATTCTCACCATTTTTCCAATCATCATCAAATCGCTCATCTTCTAGTATTGATTTCTATAAAGCTAATTGCTGTTCAAATCTATTAAAACCTGTTTTATTATTATTAATTCTAATTTCATCTAGTTCTAATATATCAATTTTATTCTCTCTATTTTTATCAACAGTATTAGTTTGTTCAACCTCATTAGAATTAACCTGATTGTTTTGTTGATTTTGATAAAGTAAAGTTGATGCATTTCCATGATAGATTTTTTTAATTTGATCAAGTTCATGATTACGATGAGTTTGATCGATAATACCTTTAATTTGAGCCATAGCTAATACCTTTAGATACTAAAAAAATAAATGATATCATAATTACAATATATATATATTTTATTTAATTTATAATTTTATATTTACCTT